ACAACTATGAGACCAGAAGAACTAGATGGTGCCCGGCTACCACTGTCATCCACTTGGAAGGGATGTAGGAGATACTGCATAAAGAGGGAGAACAATGTGGAACAAAACTCAAAATCATTTGGAGGCAAAAAAAAAAGAAGGTGGGGACCAGGTTTGCTGGTTCAATAGAGCCTGGTGTAACCACTGAGACTATGGCCCCTAGCTGCCCTTCAGGTCTGGAATTGAACCCACACCTGTGGTTTCCAGCCAAACTAAGTATAGGCAAGTGAGTTAAACATTTACCTCAAGTAGACACACACCCTGGAGAGAACAATCATGGGAGAAGGAAGGGCTGCTTATGCACAGGGAGACAGCTCAGGGCGCAGAAGAGTATGGAGGGATGGACACTGGGAAGAGGTAACTACGGGGAGGAAGTGGGAGGGGAGCTGCTGTATTGTAAATTTTGGTCAATGACATGAGACAAAGTATATGTGAACTGCTGTATGAAAAGTGAATTTACTCTGTAAATTTTCACCCAAATCAAAATAAAATTAAAAAAAAAAAAATAGCCACCAATGGCTTCCTGTTTCACGTAGAACCAGAGGCTGGTGAAGACAGGAACAGGCAAAGACAAATTCCAGGTACAGCAGAGACTCCACATCGGGAATGGGGGAAGCCGACGTGGCTCTCCCTTGGTGCTGGTGGGGCCTGGTGGCGTCTTATGGCCCTTCCCTTCTCCTGGCCCTCCAGGCACTCAAGGTTGGCTATGGCAGATCAGACACCCTCCACCTTTTGGCCACAATTTGTCTTCAGGGTCAGATTCTCAAAAGCATATCTGACGGAAACCTTTATCCATTGCTGGTGGGGATGTCAATGGCACGACTACTGTGGCAAACAGTTTTCTTCCTCAAAAAGCTAACCACAGAACTACCATCTGATGATTCCCACCATCTCCGTAATTGAAAATTGCTTTTCTCATCAAGAGATGGCCGTCCAGCCCAGAAGTGAACTCACCCTGCAGCTCAACTTGCAGCCAAAGCATAGACAGGCCTACGCGGTGAGCAATAACACCTGGGAGCTACGCACTCCTTAGAACAGTCACCCACAGGAGACCCAGAGGGCAACAGATGGTTGCCCAGCAGAACCATAATCCTCGGGCAACAGCCAGAAATGAAAGCAGGGACACACCAGAAGCCTGGACACCCATGTTCACTGGCACTTTTCACAAAAGATGGAATCAACCTCAACGTCCGTTAGCAGATGAACGGATCGGCACAATGAGGTCCATCCACACAGTGGAGTGCTCCTCATCCATCAAGAGGAATGAAGTCCTGATGAACACCCCAATGGGGAGGAACCTTGAAGGCATGATGCTGGGCGAAATAAGGCAGTCACCAGAGGACAAATGTCACATGATCTCAGGTATATGAAATACGCAAATACATAGAAAACAAAGATTATTAATGGTTACCAGGGGTTGGAAGGAGGTGGGAAGGGGGAGTTTAGGTGCTTAAGGGCCACTGAGTTGATGTTGCTGATGGTGGAATGATTTGGGAAAGGCCAGAGAGATGGTGGAACAACTTGAAGAAGACAGTCAATGTCACTGAGTTTCAC